AGATTCTTAGATGGTTTGCGGGATAATGAAGTTTGCTGTGAAGTAGAATATCATAAGGCGCCTGAGACGATTGATGCTCGTGTAGTGAACAAACCAAAAGTTGTGGAGACACCGTAATAGCACTAGGAGAGCTTGTGATGAAGATGATGTCTTAGCAGAAACAGAACCTTATAAAGGCAATGAGCAGAGAAATCGAAGAAAGGAACACGTTCCCAATACCTTTACTAAATTTGCACATCATAAAAGAGACAACCTTGGAAAACATATTGAAAACAATCAAGAATATAATATGTCTGATATCTTACAGCGACTTAACAGATTAGAACAAAATAAAGCCAATGAGCCTAAAATAGATAAACAAATTAGAGGAAAATTAGTGTTTTCAATGTCACAAGATTGGACCAGACGGCTGAAACTTGTGCTTCTAGAATACTTAATGATTTTATTGCTCACTGGGGTTGTCCACTTTCCATACATACCGATCAAGGGTCTGCTTTTGAAAGCAAATTGTTCAAAGACATGTCGAATGCTAGACATAAGGAAAATTAGAACAAGTTCTAGAAATCCGAGAAGAAATGGACAAGTAGAACGGTTTAACCGTACGCATCTGAAGATTGTTCGCGCCTATTTTAGCCGGTGAACAAAGAAGATTGGGACCTTAACTTAGGATGTTGGCTGGTGCCTACAGATGTACGCCAAATGAAGCGAGAAACCTTTCTTGTCTTGGTCGCGAGATTCGAATGCCTGCAGACTTGATGTTCAATCATGCGAATTCCATGTCCAAAGAGGTTATTATTGAGAACCAGTATGTCCAGCGATTAAGGACCAACATGTTGACAGCGCATGATATGGCGAGAGAACACCAACGAAGTAAAGATATTTATGATGCCAAGTTTTTTGGTGCCTGCATGAAAAAAGAAAAGTACGAGTGACTTCCAAGTTAGAGAAAGCTTATGATGGACTTTATCTTATTGTAGAGAAATGTTCACCAATTAGTTTTGTAGTGCAGTTTCCTATGGACAGGGTGCCGTTCTACTGCACCTTGTGCAGTTTCAGGTTTGAGGAAGGGAAACCTTGGTAGCCCATATTAAAAAGTATCGGCGCCACAAAGATGAGTAAGTCAAGTCCGGGACCCCTGACTATACCCAGGTACTGAAGAGGGCAGCAAACCCTATATATGTAGGGGACAGCGACATGGTGGTCCTCAGTAAGGAAAAGTCGTTGAGGTGGCATTCTACGTAACATAACATTAAACGAATAAAAAAACAATGATAAATTATTGCTTTACCTTAAGTGTTTAATTTATGAAAATGAATCAAATAGCTGCTATTTGCTTTAAAATATTAAAGTATGTACAAAAAATGAGATAGGGGTTTCGACCCTATGTCATGTAAAAAGGGGTCTAACTGTCAAGAGGTCTAGAAGTCATCTTAATATCGTAAGGGGTCGAGAAGTAAGTCTTACTTGCAGTCAGTCGATTTCTTGCCTCGGCAAATCGTTGATCAAAACAGGATCGAGTATGAAATAGTATGTTATGAATAAGCAAAAAATATCAACGCCTGAATTCCAGGCTAGTGGTAAAGCCCAGTCACATTGTTGATATATTTTCCTTATTCCTTTTATTTTTATCTTGAGTTCGGAACTGATATCCTAAGGCATGAATGTTTCTCTCTTAAGCCATGTTCACAATATTTTTAATTCATTTATTTTTCCCAGGAAATATGGTGAGTCAAATATATTTCAATATCTTTTAAAAATAAATATAAAAGTGGGCGGAGTAAAACTTATTTTAAGGGAATTCTTTCGCTATTTTTTTTTCTGAAAAATCTGATGAATAAAAAGCATTTTTAACTAGAATGATGGAAAATGGTCTAAGAAAATAAATCCGAACACCAATAACTTTAATTCAGTCATAAACGCTGTACAGACCTGACGCCAAAAATGTAGTGTCAAACAGCGCGTGCAATATTTTGCACAATACAAGCAAATACAAGACGCATCTATAAATAATCAATATATTACTACGCGCTGTACCATTGCAGTTAAAAACCTGGCTTATTTGTGTTTGCTCTAAAAATGTACGTTAGAGCTATTAATTACAGAAAGTAAGAGTAAAATGAACTCGGTAGTAGTGATCCATTTAATTTGCCCGTGCATTGCATAATTTTGTTTCTGTTCTGCACCATTGTATATGTAACTTTTCGAAAAACCTGATATGCTGGCAGGAACAATAGCGTAACACGTACCTGCTCGGAAACATTCGCGGTAGAAATGAAAATATTCGATTTTATCGAATTTGTACGGACACACGTTTTTAAATGTAAATAACCGTCACAAAAAGTATGATTGACCTCGATTTATGGCATCCTGTATTACGCCATGCATATGCTCGTGCCTCATTCAAATTTGGAACAGAAATAATGGAATCTATACGACAGACATAGCTCTATCTCAGAAATGCCGTTCGCTCGTTTTACCGAACACCACAATTTTTCTTTCAACGTCAAATTGCTTAACGCACCTTCCGCACTTATTGAGCATGCACGTTGAATTTGTGTTTGTGACATTATGCTAATTTTTCCATTCGCAAGTTGTCCTTTATTGATTATATATTTTATAAGATGGTCTGTTACTATGGTAATTGACCAACAATTGACATTGGAAAATATTTAGGATCAAATATAAATCTGCCTTAAGACTGCCCCACTCTTTTAAAGATTAATAAACTTCAATAACATATCATGAAAAAAGATTTCAGATTTACGGTAGAAAAATGTAGGGGTGGGATGGGGGTAAGACGCATTCTGTTACTTGGGGACCATGCGCCGCTTTTCACGGAATGACAGTACTGTGTCACATTGAAGGTTCAATGATAACGACGTATGAACATCCAGTACTGTGAACGCTTGTATTTCACTGAAACAACGTAACGGGGTCAAATATTTAAAACCTTGAAATGATAATTATTTCATAAACAGTACTGCGGATGTTTCTAAATCCAAATTTCGCCATTTTTGTCTTCTGCTGGGGGCGTGGACGTAACTTGCACTTTCCAGTACCGTCCATGAACAGGCTTTATCAAACCGAGCCTGCAACATTTTAAAATTTTGTCGTGTTGGGCTTCCTTTAGGGATTCTGTTTTTCATTACTTGAAATCACACAAGTTCGTAAAAACTGGCACTTCTAGTGCACGTTATTTTCACAAAGAAATATTAAAAGTGTTATTAAATATTAGTCAATATAAACAACAATAAAATAACGTTTTCGCATATCTATAATATTTTGTGTATCATGTTTACTAAGTTAATCGGATAATGCAGTAAACTGAAATTATGCAGTACACGTAATGGATGAAATGGCATCTTGTTACATCTTTTTTACATATCTTACTGCTTTGTTACATTTGCCATTGACAATTTATTCTATTATTTATATTTAAGCTTATGTCTCTTTAAGAAAGATTTGTGAAATGTAGTTGTGCGCTAGAATGATAAATGTTATTTCTTACTTACTTGTGACAAATCATTTAAACAGAAATTGAATTGTGTTTCAGGGAACGTTTTTTTTTTTTTTTAAATATCATTCATATAAGTTCATTACTTTCCATGAGTTGAATAAAATCATATAAGTTCTATTGCCTGGCGATACATTTTTATTTTATTGAACGATTGAAAACGTCAGAGCCGGTGTTCACGAATGAAATATAATTTGACTTTCAGATTATGCAGATATCAGTAATCAATCGCATTTTCCTTAAGACGGAGTCTATTTCTGACGTGGTACTTTTTCCCCACTCGGTGAAATGTTTCCCGATCTTAAACTTAACTTAACAAATATCCTGTATATATTACATGCGTTCGGGGTTTATGAAATAATTATCATTTCACTGATCAACACATAAAAAAGATATTATGCATAAACGACCTAAAACAAATTATTTGAAACGTACTTTTTATTATTCTAGTATGGAGTTATGGAACACTATTCCTTTAAAAATAAGAAATCTTTCAAGTCTTAAATTATTTAAATCACATTTCAAACATTTATTATTATCTAGAGATGAATTATAGAAAATTTACCTATACTATAATATAATATTATGTCTGTCTTCTTTGTTGATTAAGATTTACTGAATGTTGTAATCTTTACAATTGCTTTAATATGTCCGTTGTTATGTTTATGTTTTATTGAAGGCCTTGTTGAAAATAAGATTTTGCATTATATGTGTTGTATCTAATGCTTTGATGTATTGTCTTAATAAGTTACCTTCGTTAAATAAAGAGTTTATTATTATTATTATTATTATTATTGTTTTAAATATTTGACCCCGTTACGTTGTTTCAGTGAAATACAAGCGTTCACAGTACTGGACTCCAACTTAATGACGTGCCGTCGTAAATGACGTCACGTTGTATTATAAGTTGGCGCCCTTTCCATTTAACCCTTTCTTTGCACATAATTAAAAAAAAATTGTAAGATCGAAATAACACTCGTGAACACCAAAAGTTTATATTTCAATATACCTTTTTGTGATCACTCGGGGAAATATATTCCGATCTTACACTGAACTAAACAAATATCCTCTATATAATTTTGATAAAATATAAATTCACTGTCTACTGAAAAGTAAAAAACATCTGTATCACTTACATTTAAAGTGGATCTGTCTAGGTAGGGTATTTTCCCAAAACTACTCTCTTTTTGATTAAAACCAAGGAAAAACAGAAGAAAAATTTGGATATTCTTTCCTAAGTAAATAGATTTAGGACCTTCATATAATATGAGAAAACACTCTGCAGAAAGTTTTTGTACAAACCTCAACAAAATTGGCAAAGTACATGCAATATTTAACCAATAATAATTTTTTTATGATCATATTCACCATTAATACTGTAAAAAGTACCAATGTATTCATGTATTCAATATATCGTAGAATATGACCGCTGACGGCCAGGAACTAATATCATTAAACAAAATTATTAAGAACAGTTAATAGTAAAAAAAAACATATTGGTTTTATTTTACTTAAATCTTTATTTGGTACACAAAATGACAGTAAAACATTAAATCTTTTTGACGTCGCTGAACTTCTATGTTTTGAATAATATTTTAAAATACCATATAAATTTTACAGTTCATTCTTTGTCTGTTGTTTTTTATCCAGATAAAAGACGAATTTAGGGCCTGAAAGTTTTAACTTAATTTCCGGACCTTAGAAAACCATAATTTTAAATCATATAAAAAAATGGCTGGTCAAACATTTAGGTTTCAGTCGTAATCAACATCTTTTGTTGTAATACATTTCTTTGCTGATCTTTTTTCTTTCTGAAAATACAAATAGTGATATGCTGAAATAACTATATTTATTCAAAAGCTTTATCTCTAAGTTTTTAACTGTTAAGAACATAAAAATCTTAATGCGAAAAATAAAAATAGTATATAACAATTCACTACAACTCAAACTATGTACAAAAGTATCTAAACCTGCATCAAATGTATCTAAACCTGCATTTATCTGATATCATTCAGCTCATATTGATATTATATTAAATTAAAACAACATTTATTTTTATGTTTGTTCTTCCATTAAATCATCATTGAATTTGCAAGTTACACTGATATACCGATAAACAAAACAAGCTGGAGCTTGTCTGGTGAAGAAAAAAGAACGTCTAAATTTGAAACCTATGGCTATGACAGTAATCCGACATCGAAGCAAAACAAATAAAATGTTTTGACAAAAAGAAACCTTTGCTTTTTTTACCTCCAGTATTAGAGATATGTACTTCAAAACATTGACTTCCATTCTGTCTAAGCATTGCCATAAATTGTTTTTGTCCCTAAACATCTTTGACAGTTCATAAGGAGAGTCAAAAATAGACGATTCTTTTTCAGTAGCAAACATGGAAGGAAGAGATCTTCCATCTGGCTGACTTTTGAAAATTGATGATCTTTTTCCTCCACCCCAATGTGTAGAAAAGCTCACTTGACAGCTGACTGTAGTAATGTATCCGAGCAACAACGCGGATACTACAAATATAAGTCCCGATGTAGACATCTGTAATACAGAAATAGATGATATTAAATGTAGGTTCAATACTGACTGACATTTAGATGAGTCGGAGGATATAATTTTTCTTAATGTGTATTAACGGTGCTATACATGTCTTTGGTTTCAAATTAATACCTTCAATTGTGAAAATTGATGTTATATATTAAAGCTTAAAGGACTTTAACCGCGGTTATAAAGCATGACAGGACTGGAAATGATTTTTGAGATTAGATTTAGGTCTATGCAAAATTTCAAATCTCAGAATAATTGTGAAAATGACCCACAATTAAAAAGCATTTCAACAGTATGATTTTCAATTCATTTCATTTCTTAATTATCTTTTGCTTATATTTCTGTTTTTTTTTCAGCTTATATCAAGAAAAAATGGTTTTTTCGTGTAAAACCACTAATATATTTAACGTCTGTGAGATTTTATTCCCGTGAAGTTCAAAAAACAGTTTTGCTACATCACTTTAAAGCTCACTCTAAAATAAAATTTCTTCTGACAAAAAAAATATCCTCTACAAAATTATTTTATGATTTCATATAGTACATACCGGATTTTGAACGAGCGCTGGTTAAATACTTCATTTTTCATTGAAGCTACCCGAATTTAGATAATACAGTATGCTGTTTATCACATATGTACAGTGAATAAAAATAATGAGTGGATAACAATTTGAACGCTGTAAATGCTAATATTTTATTATGCAAATGTCGGTATAGAATAGTATGTTTTATTCAATTTTTGTGCCGTGATAAATGTAATATACGTAAACAATCAAATACTCGCTATCTCATTGACGACATGACTTCACTTCACTTCACCTGTCTCCCAAAACAAATGTCCTAAATATTTGATCTGATTTCAACTTTATTTCATTTCAAGTTACAAACGTATTTGTTTTTAATTTGAATCGAGGAGGAAAAATAATCTGTTTCATGATGAAACGGTCCATTTCAACGCTAAATTCGCTAACTGAAAGGGCCGCCAAAACTACATTTCAAACACAATTATAACAACTTCACGTTTTCTGGAAATCTTAACCAAACCAACATTGTTCTCTAAATATTGATATTTGGTGTTTAGTTTACAAAATATATAAAATCAAAGCACTGAATGTACTGATGGGGAGGCTATGACAGAATGTTTCAGACTTATAGTTTCTTTTCTTTTTGCTTAAAATGTGCTGTTAAATAAGAATATATGCACATTGCGCCATTTATCGTTCAACCATTCATATATATGGTTAATATGGTTGACTTTTCATTTTGTTAATATTCCAGAACATTTCATTGAGGTCTACATTCGGATTGTTAATCATGCAAATTTTGAAAAACCTAAAAAACATTCATAAACGACATACCAGCAGGTATGACGACTGTTCATTATAATATCATAATACCATTTTACAACTGACGGTTCCTTATCAAAATATTCTAGGACTGTTTATCATAAATACTTTATGTCATTTTAATATCATTGAATGATAATAACAACTGCAAGTTAAGCAACATTTTAATTGAACATAAAAATTATACATATTTACATGTACCAAAATTGAGATCAATCAGACACTGTCTTGTGATGAGTATTAATATTCATTCTCTACGGACAGAAAGTTGTCTTCTCCCGAAGCAAATCTCGAATAAAATTCTGGAAACAAAGTGATCCCTCAGAAGCATTAATCACAACAAAATTACATAAGAATTGCAGACTTGGTTTGATTGAGTCTGTACATGAGAGATAATGAATAAGTGCAACATCCCTCACGCCCCCTAGCACCGGCTTGAGCGGTACTCAATTCTCAACACTTAATAGTGCTGGCATCAATGATCCCGAAGGACCAGAAAATATAACAACACTGAAGTCGAATAAAATCACGTTTCAGAAAATTATTCCCATTTCATTACTCGTCGCTGGCTTTGACGGCTTCGGATAATAAAGCTAAATATTTCTTGGAAAAATACATATCTGCAAAGCTTATTCAAAATTGAATCAACCTAAGTGAAAATTGATCAGGAAGTTGTATCTTCTTTTTTACCGCCAACACTCAACCAACTTATGTTAATCGATAGATTTTAAACCTCGCTAGCTTGAAATATATACTGCGGAAAATCTGTTGTTAACAGGGTGTGCGGTTATTACGTAGGGTTTTCCTTTTCGACCATTTCCCGCAAATAGATGAGAACATCGAAGCGTCAGTGCTATGAATGGTGTTATAAATAGCGTGTTTTAGAGGTTTTTGTTGAAACTTCTCCAAATCCCTCCAGGGATATGTACGTCGCGGAGAAGCCACACGGCAGGTCAAGGTCAAGTCATCTCAAGTACCAAAGGTGATTGGTTGACCTGTCGTGACTTGCTCTGGAGGTTTGGCGCTAATAGATGCCGTTTTTGTTGTCGTCAGTCAGAAAGTTGATGCCTTGACGGTATTGTCGTCTCCTTTACCACCAAAGAACGAAGAATGGGCTTCCAGGAAGAATCTGCTTGAAAAAGACGTTCCAGATGCTATAATCTCGGACATATGGTTATTCCGGCGCCGAGTATAAATAAACTTAAACACACACACTTTTGTTGAAAACAAAACAAAAAAACAACAACACATTTTCTGTAGTAATTTTTCAAGTGTTGTAAAATGAATAAGAAATTCCTCTTATGCCGCCGATTATTTTTAGAACACAAACATAAAAGTTCTTTTTTTTTATTTTTCAAATAAACATTAATCACTTCAGCGCGCGCAAATATCGTTTTCAAATTAAAGTTTCGTAAGAAGATGTATGTTAATGACTTTCCGATGCTCGACTGTAAGTAATTGTATATGTATGCGTTTTTTTTTTTTTTTTTTTTTTTTGTTTTTTTTTTAATTAAAGCTTCTTATTCTTTAAATTTTTTATGTATCTCATAATCTGTATTGAAAATTTGAATTTTATTACACATGGACTATCAAATTATGATGTATGCCCTAGAATTGAATAAACTTTCTAATTACACAATACGGGGTCATACTGATCTTTGCGTCTTTCTCTTAAATAATTATTTCCTTGTTAAAATATATTTGACCACATATTTCTGTCAATTAACTGTTCACTTTACTTCCGATTTTTGTTGTACGGAAACACATGTTTCTATTTGTGTTTTCTAATCAATTCGAATCTATAATCAGTTTAATGGGATCACCACCGGGTAAACGACTACTAGGTACTTTGGTCATGTTTTTTACCCCAAATATTTGAATGTTTCTATTGGGATTAAAATGAGCATAGTTAACTAAACAACTGGTTGTATAAATCCCTGACCTGTCTAATTCTAATTATGAGATTAGTGAATATATAAGACTTTCACTACAAAATATTCCTAAACAAAAGAGCACATGTTTAAATTTATTCCTATACAAATAAAAGATCAGAGTAGGGATCTGTCAATTGCCAAAGATACTTTTATGTTAAAAGTTTGATTAATGAATTATAAATGTAAGATGAAAATATAAGTATTGCTTTTTTATTTTGCTAATGTAAAATGTAATATTGTGCTGGAATTTTGTCGGAGGGTCCTTAGGGGTTTTGTAGTTAAATAGTTTTTTTTCGGCGATAATGGTTCAAGAATATAATGTTTTCAAACTATATGTTCATCACCATCAGTGAATTTTTAGTTAAATGTATGCAAGCTATATGATATAGCGGTTTATGAGCGTTTTCCGCGTACAGCCTCCTGGGGTGTACTAATAAGTTAGTTTTCCTTAGTTATCACGCAAGCATGACCCATGTCTCTGATGTAAGCGACAGTTTACAATTATTTGACTTTAAAAAATATTAAGGACTATTAATGGTTTATAACAACAAAAGAACATGCATGATATTGAGAATACGGTGTTGCAACGTTCTAGTTAATGACCCGTCATAAGCAGTTGGTCGCTGCGTAGTAATTGGAAAATTGTTATCAAAAATAATAAAGAATATTTGCCACTAAATTAATGCATTTACTTATAAATTTTCATTTATGCTTTTTGTTAAAAAAATATTGATAAAGTTATTATTTTGAAGGGTTTTCATACCAGAACTATTTATTACAGACGTACGTATGCCTAAACCTGATTACCGCGGCAGTATGACGTCACGGAGTAGTGATTTAAACAAAAATCAAGAATTTTTCAGAGAATTATTATCTTTACAAATTGCAGATATGAAATTAAAGAATGAAAATATTTTCATATTGTAAATGTCTGTGATGAGTGATGAGTCAGCTTAGAAAAAATCAAGGTACTATTTTTTGACCTGATTACCGCGGCAGTAAGATTTGACGGACGGTTATTAACATTGGTCGTCATAGCCTCCCAAAAAATGAAAACACTTAACACATGATTTTAGCGACATGCACTAGCTCGAAAGTAGAGATAGATCGATTAACCGTATTCCTCCGAAAGCTGTAGCTCTATCGTTTACCAAGCGTGATATTATAACCCACACTTATAGTGGACTTTGAAATACCCTTCTAAAGTGAGCATTGAGACATATATCTATTTTATACTGTAAATATATTTCCAAAATTACATGTATCAATTCTTCTTTTTTACCTTTTCTTCTTGCATATCGCAATATCGCTTATTTTCGTATATCCAAAAAACTATTGTTACCTTCACAAAAAATCCTTTCCACTTATTTATCGGTAAATAGTGAAAGCAACTATACAAAATAAAGTTTCATATGATAGATACGTGGATAAGATTACAACAAACTGACGCCCAATCACTATATTCCAAATTCGTAAAACAATTAATTATATACTTGGATACTTGAATACTTGGATGTGCGACTATCGCAAAGATTCAAAAGTGGTACATTTTGCTAGCATGTAGTAAATATACTATGTGATGATAATATCTTTGATGAACTAACTATTAAAATCAGTCAGATAAAATCTTTCAATGCATATTAAATGTTCACAGTCTCATTTAATCACTTTAAATATCTTAGTTAAATATCATCTAGGGAACTATTTATTGCAATCGTTCTACTTGATTTATTGAAGTGTTGAATTGTTTATGAAGTTTAAATACGTAAAGCCCATTTGATTCCTTTGGATGCAACAAATATAGTCCTGTGTTATTGATTGTTATTTTATTAGATTAACAGATATGCTTTAAATGCGATTACAGAGAACTTTAGGATTCTAGAAACCCATCCAAATATAGCCGTAGTAATATTGTTTTTCAACGTGATTGCAACATCAAATCTGATAATCACATGCACAAACCAAAAGGGTGTCGATAAATTAGACGTTAAAATGCAACTGCTGATACTTGAAAATATTATCCTTACTCATGCCAATAATTAATGATTCTCATTATGGGCTCGTTTTGCAAAGCCTTTACAAGCAAAAACTTAACCAAGAATTTCTTAGTCGAAAAAGGGGCATAATTAATATGCAAAAAGGAAAATCAGAGTTATGGGATTTGTGCCAATCATGTAAGATAATCACAGAGAACAAGTGTGTGAAGTGCCAACCCATTCCCTTCAGTAGTTATGGAGATACTTGAATTATTCGCTTTGATTGGCTTAAGACAGGCGTGTACAGGAAGAACTTTTCAAATCTCGTTAATTGTATTTATCATGCAACTGCTATGGTAACTGGCTGATAACACTTGCCTGATAATTATTTTTGATATCAGGTAAGTGACCTGATATCAAAATTAGGCTCCGCCCACAATGCCGAACTGTTCAGAATGTATATGGGGCGCGCCATTTAACAGCGCCATTTTGATATACGGAAGTTTTACTTTTAGTTTAGAGGTAAACACAGTTACTAGTAGCAGACGAAGCAAATTTATACAAGAGCCACCGCCGGGCGGGGGCAACGCTCGACTTTTTACTTTAAAAGCAAACAAAGAAATGTTTGAACAAAATCTTAACGTTTCCTTTTTATAAAATTAATCAGTCTGTCTTGTCACATAAGTTTTGTCTATATATTTTGTATATATAAATATACTAAATTATATATATATAAACACGCAATTCTATAAATTGAAAATTCTATGAATAGAAACATGCAATTCTATAAATAGAAACACGCCATTCTATAAATAGAAAATTCTATAAATAGATACACGTGGTAGAGTCACGTGGTGGAGTCATGTGGTAAAGTCACGTGGTGGTGTCACGTGGTAAAGTCACGTGGTGAAGTCACGTGGTAAAGTCACGTGGTGGAGTCATGTTGTAAAGTCACGTGGTGGTGTCACGTGGTAGAGTCATGTGGTGGAGTCACGTGGTAAAGCCACGTGGTGGAGTCACGTGTTGGAAGTCACGTGGTTAAGTGGTGAAGTCACGTGGTAAAGTCACGTGGTGAAGTCAGGTGGTAAAGTCACGTGGTAGAGTCAGGTGGTAAAGTCACGTGGTGGAGTCACGTGGTAAAGTCACAACAAGGTGTTGTCCTAAAGTATGTTCAATGAAAATTTCAATAATTTGAACTTCAAAGTCAAGGACATTAATAGCTGAAAGTCAAGGTCTGTCTGGTTATTTTTAAGGTTTATCCTTGAAGATTATTATGTTCAAGTTTGAAGACAATCCATTCAAAAATAACAAAGTTTAAGCCAATAACAGCATGAACAAGCAAAATTTGGACTTTTAACCTTGAAGGTCAAGGTCATTTATGGATGAAGGTCAAGCTTAGTGTGGTCTTCTGAAAGGTCTTGTCCCAAGGGTTGTTGTGGCCAAGTATGAAGACAATACATCAAGAAATAAAAAAGTTATGATCCAGTTACAAGTTTGCGGACGACAACGGCAACGGCAACGCCGACCCGACTATAACAATACCTCTACTTTTTTTCTCAAAAAAAAAAGTCGAGCTAATAAAACAAGAGCCATCGCCGGGGTCAAGGACAAAAATGGCCGGGTTGCATTTGTATACCAAATAACATGACTCATGAGGCTGTGATGTTACAAAAAATTTCTACCATTGACCATTAAAATGTTGAACATTTAAGTTTAACTTATAGAGAATAACATGCTACTGTATTTTGATATCAATTTTATCAGGCAAGGCTGATATGGGCTAGAAAGGGCGAGGCTTCCCGAGCCCTTTCTGCCCATATCAGCCGAGCCTGATAAAATTGATATCAAAAGACAGTAGCATGTTTTTCTATTTATCATGTAACACATAAAAACTGTCAAAATAACAAAAAAAAATCTACTTTTAAACAGCGAATTTCGTAAAAAGGGGATTTTTGTTCAAAGAAATAATTCTTGACAACAAATTCCTCCGCATGGCGGCCATTTTTTCTTTCGACTCGGATAAAAGATACAACAGAATGTAGGCCTAACATGATAAAATTCTTACCTTTAATTTAAACATCGATCCAAAAAATCCCTTAGAATCACATAAACTTTACTGCACTTTTTGTTTGTCTTGAATTGTCAAATTCAAAGTTCACGATAATTTCAATCAAACAAAAGGCAAATCGGCTATGAAACACAAGCTACACAAATATGCGTCTTATTTTTTAAACGAAACAATTTGTTCACTTATTAAAAAATAATCCGGCAAAATAAAGTAAACATTTATAAGTTCTTAAAGAAAATCGTCAAGCCTGTTCGTTTTGTTTACATGTAGCCCGGGTCTCCACGATACCGGTGTACATATTTTATACAAGGTGTTTTTCAGATAGAATTTTACTGACTTGAAAAAAAGAAGGAATTAACAACTTCATTAACATTTCATCCTCTTAAAAATACATTACATAGTTCTGTTACTTTGAAATTCACGCTCACTACAAATGTAAACAATGGTCGACCATTTTGTATGACGTAGATAAACAGACATCATGCTACCGGTGCAGTGGTAAAAATGTTGTTTATATGGAAAGCCATTGCACTTTTAATAGCAAAAATATCATTTTAGCATTCTTGTATTCCTATCTAAAAAATAAGTTTAAAACAACATAAAAACGTGTGTTTAAATAGTTTACTGTTCATCTTTTATTACCCCCAAGGGATCTCTGTATTAGAATCTTACACTCCCAATTACAGGTGTATATTATACCATATGGCTGGCTTCAAAAATACCCCCTTCACTTTATTTTAGTGTTGTTGTGATTTTTTGGTCCTTTTATATCATTGAATCTATTTTATTTCTATATGATGAAGATAAAATATCAATATGGCACTTAACACAGACTTCCTTAACAGACTAAATGAAACTGACTTTTCAATTTTTCACAAACAGTTTTATATGCATCAATGGCTTTCCATAGATTATTTTTTTCCCGCCAAAAATGATGTCAAAAGGTAAGTTGACATGTAATGGAGGTAAGAATGACGTCAACACCTGTTATTTTTTATTTTTTGGGGAAAAAATGTGTTTTGTAGAGAGACCGATTTATGCAATGGAAGAAAAGGATAGTAAATAAAAAATAAGGTAGGATATGTAAAATATTTTCTTCAGAAACTCATTAAAATGTTTAAAAACTTTGAAATAGCAAATATTACTAGAGCATGTCAATATAAACACTCGGTAGGTGGCGTTGACAATAATATCGCGAGATATGTGAATACACCGATACCGTGTAGCCACCGGTATCATGGGGTTCGAGTAAACTGTATAGTATGACGTAAAAATTGATGATGTCATTTGCGATATGAATTATGACGTCACTCATTTAGTTGGTGTTAAAACTATTCGCTGTCTAATTTATTCGTAATTGAAATCGAAATAATAAATAAATAAGTATTGCATCTTGATTCAAGACTTGTAAGGGTATGAGATAACATTGTAGAATTCACATGCTGATGAAAATGAGAATATAAGCAATTGAAAAAGGTCCGTTAAAAATGGGCGGGGCTTATTTTTGATATCAGGTTACTGACCTGATATCAAAAATAATTATCAGGCAAGTGTTATCGGGCAGTTACCATAGCAGTTGCATGATAAATTAACTAAGTCGGTAAACAGGAATTAAGTGGATAAGCGATAGACCTGAACTTTGGACCACATGTTAATTAAGGCAGTCACAATACCAAATATCAAGAGGCTGTGATATGTAGTTGCTGAGAAAACTGTTACGGAAATTTCCTTCCATTTACAATTAATGCTGAAAATTTAACTAAGTCAGCAAACGGGAAGTGGATAAGCCACATACCTGAAATCATATCCCATTGTATGTGACTAGATGTTGATGCTGTATACCAAATATCAAGAGGCTGTGATGAGTAGTTGCTAAGAAAATTGTTACGAAAAATTCCTACCATTGACCATTATTATGAATTTAACTAAGTCAGTAAACATGAAGTGGATGAGTGACAGACCTAAAATCGAATTCCATTGTATGGGACAATGTGTTAATGCTGTATACTAAATATTATGAGGCTCTGATAAGTAGTTGCTGAGAAAACTGTTGGACAAAAATGGCCCAATTCGCCTGCCTGCCTGGAATCAAGTCTCAAAAAATGATGGTAAACAGTATTTTTTTTTTGCAAATAATTATGTAAATTCTTTTTAAAAACCAGTATTATAGTCGTAACAGATATCGCATTAGTGTTTAAATATTAAAATATTTTTGATAGTGTTTACTTAGGGGTATCATGTTGTAGACAGGTTCTAACCCCCAAGCATCTGTGGTTTATCATATTAGGACACCCCTCTACAAAAACTTCTTCCTGTTCACATGAGTGGCTCTATACACAGGTTTAATCGTAAAATTAAATCTTGTAAAATGTTATAAAAAAACAACAACAACAAACAGCAGGAATCTCAGGAAGGTCAGAATTTCACGTGGCAGACTGTTTGGCCAAAATTTTCATGAGTCAAATCAGTATTTTCTTGTGTTATTTTTCTACATGAATCATTTTCATGTTTCAAAAATTTCTGTTTTGGAAGACATTTTGAGTAGATTTTCAAGTTTGAATTTATAACTATTGTAAATTTTAAATCTTAGTTAACAATATGATAAAGATAATTAAGTATTCAGCACCATGGAAAATTACCATAATTACTGTTCCATTTTCACTTACATTTATTGAGGTCAATAACACATGTGTACATGTATAATTTTAGAAATCATATCACGGGAGGTGATATTTACATAAATACTGAATGTCATGCCAAAATACTTCACAAATAATTAACAAAATACCTGTTTCAACGAAGCACACCGATAATTGTATTCATCTTCGCTTCTTTGTTTTGAAATACGAGTTTATGTTACAAAATTTCTCAATTTCCTTGTGCAAGGCCGCCATTTTGTAATACTTCCGGTTTAGTTTTGTTTATAGGTCAGATTGATACAAATGTTTTCTGAGGCAAAATTGTTGACTTGACATGCATTATTTGATTATTTGAATTGTATGTTTGTTTTCAGAATGAAATATTATGACATAATTCGTTTATCAGTAAGACCGGTGTACACATGTTGAATATGATTTTTCCCACAAACCGGAAGGATGTATTAAAGTAATATCCGTACTGTAAATTAAACTTTTATCTCAATCAGCTGACTTTTGTGAAAAAATACAACATTTTTTTTGTTCACTTACGTTTCTTTGTGCAATATCTTGCACAATAAAATGTGCAAGTCAATGTCAAGAACCGAAATATTTTACATTGTATTTCGGAAATGACACAGTCTCCTTTCTGATGGTGTTACGAAATTGATGGAAGAATCCATTATTGAGTGGGGAAATCAACTTCACTGTAGCTCTCAAATTTGTGCTATTCTGATTGACTTTGTTTTGAATTAACATTCACATTCAACAACATTTTCATCTTTCTAATGTTTTAATAGAAAAATCTTCATAACAATGTCTGTTGAGACAAAAAATACAAGATACACTATCTCAATTTATCCCTACAAAGACAGTCTATATAATCTTGCAATAAAAAAACCCTTTAAACCCCAAAACAGAGACCAATTTTCATCTCTAGACCATAATTTAAATATACTTTGTAGAAACCAACAAGTTAATGCCTTGTGTGAGAAATATCTAAGCTCAAGCCCTTTCCATTTTGATGTATAAGAACTTTTAAGTTTTTTCTTTCAGTTGCCATAGCAACCAGAGTTATGCATGGAATGGCATTCTTTGAACAATCTTGATAGAGCTTCATACAAAGAGTATTCCTGCAAAGTTTCATTAATATTGGCCAAGTGGTATTATAGAAGATGTCGTTTGAATAAAATGTGGACGGACGCCGGACGACGGACGCATTTGGTTGGCCATCCTAAAAGCTCACCTGCACTATGTGCAAGGTGAGCTAAAAATGGAAACACGCAATTCTATAAAAAGAAACGTGCAAATCTAAAAATAGAAACGCGCAATTCTAAGAATAGAAACGCGCAATTCTATAAATAGAAACACGCAATTCTAAAAATAGAAACACGCATTTCTTAAAATAGAAACACGCAATTATATACATAGAAATACGCAATTCTAAAAATAGAAACACGCAATTCTAAAAATAGAAACAACCAATTCTATAAATAGAAAAAAGCAATTCTAAAACTAGAAACACGCAATTCTAAAAGTAGAAACACGCAATTCTATAAAAACAGAAAAAGCAATTCTATAAATAAAAACAGCAATTTTATAAATACAAAAAAGCAATTCTATAAATAGAAACACGCAATTCTATAAAAACGAACACGCAATTCTATCAATAGAAACACGCAATTCTATCAATAGAAACACAAGTTCTAAAAAAGCAATTCTAAAAATAAAAACACGCAATTCTATAAATAGAAACACGCAATTCTAAAAAAAGCAATTCTAAAAATAAAAACACACAATTCTAATCAATAGAAACACGCAATTCTATCAATAGAAACACAAGTTCTAAAAAAAGCAATTCTAAAAATAAAAACACGCAATTCTATAAATAGAAACACGCAATTCTATAAATAGAAACACGCAATTCTAAAAAAAGCAATTCTAAAAATAAAAACACAATTCTAAAAATAGAAACACGCAATTCTAAAAATAGGAATTCTAAAAATAGAAACACGCAATTCTATAAATAGAAACGTGCAATTCTATAAATAGAAACACACAATTCTAAAAATTGAAACACGTAATTCTTAAAATAGAAACACGCAATTCTATAAATAGAAACCCGCAATTCTAAAAATAGAAACATGCAATTTTATAATTAGAAACACGCAATTCTATAAATAGCAATTCTAAAAATAGAACCACGCAATTCTAAAAATAGAACCACGCAATTCTAAAAATAGCAATTCTAAAAATAAAAACACGCAATTCTATAAATAGAAACACTCAATTCTAAAAATAGAAACATGCAATTCTAAAAATAGAAACACGCAATTTTATAATAAGAAACACGCAATTCTATAAACAGCAATTCTAAAAATAAAAACACGCAATTCTAAAAATAAAAACACGCAATTCTATAAATAGAAACACACAATTCTATAAATAGAAACACGCAATTCTATAAATAGATACACGCTATTCTATAAATAGATACACGCAATTCTATAATGTTGTTGCGTTGATGATGATGATGATGATGATAATGATATATATATATATACTTTAATTAAAGTTTTGGCTGAAGATTTGCGAAGAAAGCATTGAAAGCGCTACCGAATATACATAAAGTTTGTTATTTCTCAAACATTATTATTTTATATACATGTACACACACCAATAAATATACGTTGTACATGGTCATTTATTGCACAAATCTGAGAAAATTCAGTAAATTAACCTTCAAGGTCAATGTCATTAAAGAACCCAAGACAATTTGGGTTTGATAAACAACAAGGTCTTGTCCTTAAGAATGTTCTGTTATAATATGAAGTTGATCCCTTCAATAATAGCAAAGTTACAGCCAGTTACAGCCAAAACAATGAAAATTTCAATAGTTTGACCTTCAAAGTCAAGGTCATTTATGAGTGAAGGTAAAGGTCTGTCTGGTTATTTTTAAGGGATATCCTTGAACATTATTATGTTTGAAGACAATCCATTCAAAAATAACAAAGTTACAGCCAATAATAGCAAGAACAAGCAAAATTTGGACTTTTAACCTTGAAGGTCAAGATCATTTATGGATGAACGTCAATGTTAGTGTGGTGTAATGAAAGGTCGTGTCCCAAGGGTTGTTGTGGCCAAGTATGAAGACAATACACCAAGAACTAAAAAAGTTATGATCAAGATACAAGTTTGCGGACGGCATCGGCAACGGCAACGCCGCCGCGACTATAACAATACCTTTACTCTTTTTTTTTTCAAAAAAAAAAGGTCGAGCTAAAAATGGCAAATATGTTATTACTCATCACACATTACATAACTGAATTTCAATATTAATGTCATTTTGCGTGTTTAATGTGCTATATCTCCTTTCTGAAGAGTATTCATTTTCAGTGACGATAGCGCATGGGTTCAAACCCCAGAAGATGCAATAATATTTTTTTCAATTTTTCTTCTTTTCGTTAGTGAGATTTTTATTTTCTTTCTTAATTTATATCTAAAATTTGTAGACATTTTATGTTGAAATAGCATAACGAATTAAAATGATTATAATTTAAAACCGGCAAGGTATACTTTCTCTATATTTTGCACAAATGTTAAGAATAATTTTCTAGATAATTATTATTAATAAACATTTGATGGCCCGATTATATTTGACAAAATCGGATGTTTTTCTTACCCCACCCTCTTTTTATTTGATGTAAAATGACAGGTACCTGTCTCAATAAATAAACAAAACAAAAAATCTATTCATATACAATTTGCATTGATTTACTTGAAGTTATTTAAAAACTATAGTTCATTATAATCACTTTTAAAGTAAGGAAAATATTAAATAAGTGAAACTTTTCTACAGATAATGAAAACATAATTGTTGTTGTTGCTGTTTAAAACCGATATAAAAGTTAAACTTTAATTGTTAATATCTTTCAAACAAGATGGTAAACTTTTGTAATTTTTTGTATTTATATCTAGAATATAGTAAAATGTTTAATAATATAAACTTTTAAAAGTCTTTTTAAAAAGTGTCTAATACCTTAAATAATGTCTTCGCTTTCTGAAAAAACGTAGTGCTATAATATTATAATTATATATAAAGTGTAACTTCTGAAAACCGAACAGTTATGGGACTAATTTGGAAGTTTCCGGAATTCAGAAGTTCGGACTTATCTGAACGAGTGTAGGACAAAAGCCCCCCCCCCCCCAGACGAAAGCCCCCCCCCCCTTCTAAAAATGACAAGGTGGACAAACCCCCCCCCCCAATGAAATTTACACAGGACAAAAGCCCCCCCCCCCATCAAAAATACAGGTAGGACAAAAGCCCCTCCCCCCCCCCAGTACAGCAAACAAAAGCCCCCCTAAGGTTTATAGACCAGACTGGTTTATAGACCAGACTGATAACTATCTTTTATCACACGCCCAGTGTTAGGGAACTT